TTTTACATACATTTCCGACGATGAAATTTTGTCTCGCCAGAGTGTTGGAGCTGTCGAGATGGAAGGACGTGCTCGAGGACCTGCTGCAAAAATTAATAACCGAGATACGCTTATTAAACGACGAGAAAAGCAACACGGAGAAAGAAATTGAAAACATAACTCAGCCTCTGCGTATCGTCACCGAGTGCATCTCGATGAGGGACTGCCGTAGAGGAACCGAGCTCACGTACGACGAGGCTGATATTGAGCTGAAGAAGGAGCTCCGCATGATCGCGAATATTCACGAAGCATTGACCAAAAGGTGATCAAGCCGATGATACGTAATAGAAAAATAATTTTAATTGCCTCTTCTTCTATTTAATTCCTTTTCATCTCGCAGAGTACAGGCCGCGTGGGAAAAGCTAAATCGCTTGGAGGCCTTCAAATTTAAGCTGAGCTTGGACATAGAGGATAAAATCGAAACTATTAGAATAGACAGGGAGAATCTCGAATTGGATCATGCTTGTGCGAATTTAAGTTACAAGCCTAAAACGTTGGCTATTGATAAAACCAGGTAAAGTATTATTTCCATATCATCAATCATTTATACCATCTATTCGTAACTTGGTCCTTTCCACCTTAACAGTCCAATCACGTACGAGGTTTGGCTAGATCGATGCGGTTGTTCCGAGTCGTCCGCCGACGATGAATTGAGTGAATGTTACACTTTCCGTGAAGCTACCCGTGTAATGAGGGAACATGCATGGAATGATATTAGAGCTCAACAAGACGCGACGGATTACACTTTAAGGAAGAGGATTTATCAAACGCAAAAGGCCAGAAACGAATTGGAATGGCAGAAGCTCAAGGTGTGCAGACTAAGACTAAATCAAACAATTAATTCAACGATTTCACAAATATCAATTATAAGAGGAAAAATGATCAATGTCCATCTGAAGTAATTTTTGAGAAAAGCACAGTTTTTAAGTTTTAAGAGATTAGATATCTTAGAAAGCTATTGAAAAAGTATAAAGTTAGTGAATATCGAAATGCAGCCTTAGTGTTTATTTAGTGTTTACATTGTATGGACTTTGATAATTCTTCTCCACAAACGTATAGATTATGATCGTTTTCCCTCAGCACGCGATACATCTTTCGGTCTTATCTCCATTTGTAACTGTTTTTTATCAAAACAAGTAAGAATTATGAAAGTTCTTTGAAAATGCCATAAGATATCATAATCAGATCAATTTTGATAAAAAGTGGACTTTGATCATTTTTTCCCTGTATTCTTCATATGATAAGAAAGAGAATTTGTTCTCATCTGCATTTTTCAATACAAATAGGTACAAAAGGAAATGGAAATGTTGGGAAGTGAAATAAATCAGTTGGAAGGAACGCTGATGAGTAAAATAGCCCCGGTGAAATGCGTCGAAACGCGATTAGAGAATCGCGTTCATCGGCCTGGCCCAGAACTCTGTAAGGACGAAGTTGAATCAGGCTTGAAGAACGAAGCGCTGCAATTAAAACAGACCGAGGAGGATCTAATTAAGATGATTGCGCATGCAAAGTACGTATTTTGCATTTGATACTGTTAACTAACAGACAATTATCTATCATTCCTTTTTCTTTTTAAATGCTTTAAGTTTAATCAATACTCTAGGGCAAGCTACAACAGTCTGGAATCTCTGCTCATACGTATCGACAAGAATTTGGAAGACAAACAGCACTCTCTGAACACCGACGTTATGTGCCTGGATATGAGAGCGTCGCTGAAGACAGGAGACAGATCGCGTTTACCTAATGAGACGGACCGTAATATCATATTGACACGCATGGAGAAAGAGATTCCATTGGAATCTTAATTCGACTGTTTCATGGATTTATAAAACGTGATGACTTTAAAGCTACTACTCTCATATTATCTAAAAAAAACTCATCAACTCTCCATCTTCATATCGTTATTTGTATCGCGTGAAAAATCAAGAACGTAATCGATAATTTGATGAATGTCAGATTCGTAAACATAATTTAATCTAACCTACATGCACGTCATGGAGCCTCACCGAATTTCATTTTCCATTTTCTTATATCTCGGGAATCCATTTTTTATATCTTGCGTGTCTCTCTCACGACAATTTCCGACAATTTCTGGAAAGAAGTTATTTATATTATTTACAAGGATTAATTCGACGATATATTTACACGAAATCACCCTGTGATGAGGCACGATAAAATCGTTGCCGTTCGTTGGTAATAACACATTACAAAGTAGAGTTCCATGTTTTCGACGCCAGCTGTCGCGACAGGGCAAAGTGGACGATGCTGCCCTCCGTGGAGCAATAAAGTATCTAAATGGGCGAGAAGTAGGGAAGGTGATCACGAGAGGGCGCCAATAATATCAAAATTCGCGGCTGTTTTACAGAGAGATATACCATTTCGCATATATTTAAATTACACAACACACAAATTACAGCGTAAACATTATAGACAGACCGTAAGAAGTCGAGAATAGGAGGTGCAAATTTTATCGGCGCGTTTCGGGGCGCGCTCGCGTCGACTCTATTGCTGCGTATTTGCAAATGAGGTATATTTCACATTTATAATATAAGAGTAATCGTAAAGTCGATCCCCAACAGGCGGGACAAGCGGGACTATCAATGTGGGGAAGACGAAGAGGAACGAGATGAAAACGAGAGGAAGGAGGACGGGAGATACGGGTGAGATGAGATGGAAGAGGATCCCCGCGACACGCGTACTCCGCTCGTACTCGCGAGCGGAGTACGAGCAAGAGAGGAGAGGGGGAGGGAAGAGGGATACTAAACGACGACGACGACGATTTGAAAGAGTCAATTTGGAAGAATGCGGTGAATGAGATAGGCAGGCGGATAGACAGATATAAATAGACACGTTACTTCGTTTTCCGTCTAACGTTCGTAACTACGTGTGTATAACTACATAACGATCCGATCGATCGGTTATTACAACGATCGCGCGTTGTATACAAAGCGGCGACTACGGACAGAATTTTTGGCCTCCTGCGCGCGCTCCCGAGACATGGGACATGCCCGGTATCGGAACGTAACGGAACGTCCAGATACGCGAAATCGCTTTTCGCTGCGCGCCAGGGACGGACGGTAACTTTTCGAGGCCTGAAGCCTGTTATCAAACAACGCGTTAAAAAGAAGATACATTTTCGTCCCTATAATTTAAAAAAATTGATTAATATATTTCTATCGGAAGAAAATTATATCTGCGTCTTTGGCGGTGTTTAGATTGGAGGATCTGTGATTTCTTTCGGCTCTTAATGGGGACACAGCCAAGCGAGAAGTTAATGTTAAACATTTGTAATTGAAAGAGAATGTTATTATTCAAAGATTATTTCGTGAGATCTCCGAGCGCGATTTTTCAAGAAATCGAGACTTAAGATAGTTGTCTCTGTCTAGCGCGAATCGCAATTAACAAGAAAAATTTGAAAATTCAACTATACGTTAACATGCATTGCATAGTAATGCGTGCAAAAATCTCGTATTTTAACTTTTTATAATTAGAACAAACAACAAGAAAATGATGAAAAACGGATATATGTATAGTAGAAGGGAAAATAATAGTAAAGAAAAACCGAAATTATTGACCGTTTAGTTATAGAAATACCATAATAGATCTCGATTTTCGCGATTATTCGACGTGAAGGAGCGATCGATCGCTGAGACCGTTACACGGCACGCACTTGTGTGCGTGCAGAACCATTTAAAAGTTTTCAGCCTGTAACTGTAGGTAGTCGGATGTTTTCGCGTTGACTTAGAGTAAAAAATTGGATCGTACCGTCGCGAGACAACTACCTTAAAAGACTTTACTATCTCTCACACAAAAATCCGTCCCTGACTGTCGCTATATGAATTTCGTCTCTTGCGTTTTCGCGCAAAGCGCACGATTTAAACGCGAAAGGTGTATACGCCTTTCGCGCGAAGCACGGTGAACGACGAGCGATGGATCGGATCGAATCGATCGGAGCACGCGTGAGAACGAATTATTCCCGGCCCATCGCTTCGCGTAATATACAGATAATATTACACTAGCTACATGGCTATCAAATGCGTATCTTTTGCTTTTTCTTCTGTCCTTATTTTTTTTTACACGTATACACAAGCCGCGCATACATAGACTACCGCGTGTGTAGAATACGCATATAAATACATACTCGCATATAGCACACGGATGCAACATTCGCCCACACACATACATACACGTGCACGCGCACATCGATCGCCATAAGACACCTTATCTCTTCAAGACTACGCGAATTTGTACATAAGGCATCACGATATCGTGCCGCTTTCTCACACACAAACGTGATAACGGCGAAGCGTGATACTCGCTCTTCTATCTATCTGTTTCCGCTATCGAGGTGGTTCGGTAAATATCGGGGCGAATTTCGCGTTAGCGAACGACTATCGAAATGACGCCAGGATGATGCGCGCGCGCGCGCGGCGCGAGACGCGGATTTAAGCTTCTTCGGCTTAAGCTCGACCGTAGCGGACGATCGTTTACACGCCAAACAGGATATCTCGAGTCGCAGCCAGCCTCGGAGATAGCGATAATTTCGAGATAGCGTTTGCTTTAATCTGGCAAATCATTTCGCGCGCGGGACTCGACAGCGTCGCGAGATGACTGCTCGTATACAGTTTTAAAAAATATATACGAATGGCGATAGCGGAGCTTCCGATTGTGCTCGAAGTCGAAGCTTTTTGTAAATAAGAATATGTAAGAAAGGATTATAGGGGAACACGTGCATGGGAATGAAAAAATTCTTATCATCTCCGCGAATGTAAATATTTCGATAAAATTGTAGTATCAGAGTAAGGCAGATTCGAGGTAAAACGTTTCGAAGCGAATGTAATTATTGATATAGAACCTGCTGTTTAAGACGGACGTTTTCGCTTTCTAAGAGCACTCGGCTTCACTTCTCTTCGCATGAGTCGACGGCTCTGGTCCATCCCGGCCTCGGTGCGAAGTTACGCTATATAGTTACCGCGAGGAACGGGGATTGTAATATCCACTCGGACTTGTCCGTGAGTGAGTATACAGCGCTATGACGAAATATTTCCTCGCGATCGCCACCCACACCGAGGATGTATTTCGTCACGACTGCTTAACCGAACGGTAGTGAGCGTAACCGAGGCGATCGGCTCGAGACGGCTCGCTTCGAACGCTCGATCGATGCTCCGCTGATATGTATATATTGCGAATCGGGCCAAAGCCCGACTGCGAAACTATATAGCGAGATGGTATTGAGAACGATGCAGCGAATTTGATTGCATCGACAATTGCGTAATCGTATAACGTACGTCGAAGATGCTTTCGTTTGCGAATCGAAAGTCAATTTGAAAAGAATAAATAATAAATTTCTAAAATGTTTGAAATCGGCAAACGGGATGAAGAAAAGCGTAGAACTGCGTAAAAACAACGTAAATACATACAATATCTGCAATGCGATGTCCGATGTCATAGATTATCGCTCCGTTTAGAAATTACGAGATAATATCTGAGAAATAGTTTTCACTCCTTTTTTTTCTTTTAAATAATTTCTACACGTTTCTGAACCCTCGATGTGTTCTCCAACAGACAGTTTCGAAAAGCTCCGCGCCTCGAATAGAAGCCTGAATGGCGAAAACCACGCAGCGCGCGCGCGCGCGCGTCCAACACAGGTAGTCGAGAACGAACGGGAAGCAAAGAGAAGATCTCTCTCTTTCTCTCGCTTTTTCTTCTTTCTCTGCCTATATAGCTGTCCCGCTCTCTTCACTTGGTGTGTTGCTTCGGGAGGTGCCGCTTCATGTGCAGCGCGAGATGATCGCTCCTGGCGAAGGAGCGCTCGCAGACCGCGCATTTAAAGGGCTTAGCCCCGGTGTGCTTGCGGTAATGCCGCGTCAATTCGTCGCTCCTGGCGAATCGCCACTCGCATTCCGGCCATTGACACTGATACGGTTTCTCGCCTGAAACAGCCACAAGAGGAGAGACATAAGTGAAAACGGTGCACGGGCGGTGTATGCGTCCGAGAGCGATCGCAATTGTAACGAATGACGAGCGGTTGGAGAATCGTTGATGGCTTATTAGATGATTAATTCTTAATTAAATAAAGCGATAAAAACAACGTGGGCAATTTGATCCGTTCATCATTTTCTTCCAAGATACTTGAGTCTCATTAATCCCTGTAATGCGTTTCTAATTCTATTTTTTTTTGCATTCTTCCGTTCTAATTCATATTTCCAATGCGAAATATATATGTTTCAAGATATACATTATTGTAGCGCTTCTTTATATTCGAATATTTTTCGCTATTCCGCTCGAAATCGCGAAAGTGTATCGACCGATATACGCGCGGGGGTCCGATCGGCGCGACTCTCGAACGTCTCACGAGCGAGAATTCCGTTCGAGTTTCGAGACGGCGGCGACCTATTAGAGAACAAAGCGTTGCTCTTTGTGAGATAGAGCCGCGGGATGCGGTATACTTAGGTATATATCCCGTCGCGCCTCTCTCAGCTGCGAGAGATGCAGCACGGTGTGACCTTTAACTGTACCTGCATGCCGCAACACGCTCACCTGTATTCTAGCGCAATCGCGCGCCGCGCCGGCCGGACCGCGCCGCGCGCGCGAGCAAGCGACCGGCCGAATGCAACCGACTAATGCGAGCCAACATGCCCGCATTCCGCTCCGGGTTCTCGCCGATTATCGAAGAGTATATATATGCCTTCCTTATTGTTGTTACACGCGCCCACGGCGTTACCTTCATAGACGGCGGAATTGAGAGTTTGCGCGCGATTGACACTACAACGCACTTGTGATCCGCTTGTGATACTCAGAGCCGGAATGTAGACATAAATCGAGCTTAATTCTAGAACACACAGCATGGGTCTCCCATATCCAAACAAAACTTCACTTGCTTGAAATTTTTTATTTTCAAAATTTAGAAATTTTTAACTTTATAACTTGACAAAATAAAACTTTTTAATATGAAAATCTATTCAGGTTTCTGGCCAAAGCACATAGCATGGCGTAGCGATATACGACGATCGTAGTCCCCGACCTGACAGATCAGGATACGCCAAAGCTTGTGCGTTAATTACTTACGTCCACGACTACGATTGTCATATGTGCTTTGGCTCATATTCTTAAATCTTAGAGCTTCAAAATAAAAAAAAACAAGTCCAAAAATATTAACTGAATTACTAAATATAGGCGGAACCAGAGTTACAGCCTATGAAAGTCACATGGATCTCCCAGACTCATGGTGCGTGTTTTCGGGAAGTTATATTCTATAGGATTAAAAAATTGACATTTAGAATTAGAACAAGTTGACTCAAGATTATAAAGTCCATTACGAATATGGTTTCACGTTAAAAGGATGGCGAATCAGAGAATAATTAGTATATAACGTAATCGAAAGCTAGAGCGGATCGAGTTCGCGATTCGACAGATTCCATTTTAGGCTTCGGCTTAAGCTGAAAGTGCGGATTAATCCTTGAAACGCGCAAACTACCTATGCGACTCGTTCCGACTTTAAATGTCTCCTACGCCAATCAGGTATATCCTCCAGGTATCGCCTCTCCGAGTTGTTTGCGAATTCGATCGCGACGAAAGATTCTTTCGCGATGCGCGGAACGGTGAGTAAGAAGCGAGTGCTAAGCGAGTAAAAGCGACCGAGGCGGACGCTCGACTGGGGGGGGATCCGAGGGAGGAGGGCGCCGCGTTGGGAGAACGAGCACGCACGGGAGAGGAGAAGAAAGAACTCGATAGCTAAGAGATACACCCACGCATCCTTCTAGCTCGTTCCTGTTCCTCTCGCGCGCGCTATACGGAGACGACCCTAACCGGTCCTCGCCGCGTCGTATAGCAGCCGCCCTGCGCCACAGAGAGTTGCATTCAACCGCTGTGCAGCATCGCGTCGCGCCGCGCCGCGCCGTGCCACGCGACGCACAGCCCAAGGAACGGTACTACTACCACGAGCGCTATCCATTTACGGTATCGCGCGCGTTCACGTGAGAATTCTTCTCTCGCGGATCTCCGCCGGCGAGAACGTGCGACTCTCCGGCGAAATTTCCTCTCGGCCCGTCGGCTGACATTAGCAGGTTCATTCTTACTTAACGCTCGGGCTACTGAATCATTTCGGAAAAGAAACTTCTTACGAATAGCTAATTATACGTCTTAAAATAATCTCGAGAAAGAATCGAAATGGAAAGTCAATTTGTAAAAATTATTATTCTTTCTGTAACGATACACAGAAAAAAGAAGTGTCAAATAAAAACTTATATTTCTTATATATAAACAATCTATAATCTTCTTATAAGAATTTCAACTTTTTTTTTCTTGGTTGAACTATAAATGGCTTTATTCAAGCAAGTTTTCTTCGTTTAACGCAATATAATCTCATTACAAGATTATGAATTGTTGGTGTTGCGTATATACGAGTATATATAAGTCTTGATTCGGCATTTTTTTCCTGCAGTATTCTTTGAGTTTAAATACCGCAAATTCTTCATAAGCGTAATACACCGTTGGAACATGTTGTCATGAAGAATTTTCGGTATTTAAACTCAAAGAATACACAAGAAAAAAAGTGCCGAATCAAGACTTATATACTCGTATATACGCAACAATCTATAATCTCGTAATGAGATTATATTGCGTTAAACGAAGAAAACTTGCTTGAATAAAGTCATTTTAATCATTTATATAGTTCAACCAAGAAAAGAAGTTGAAATTCTTATAAGAAGCTTATGAACATGTTGTACACAATATTTACGCTCGACACTTTTTCCCGTTTTATATAAAAGTTCATTTTTATTTACAAGAAATTCTCTTTAACATCCTTAACTCAAAACGCAAAAATTGCGAGTGCGGCTATTCGTATCCTTTGATTCGCGCAGTATCGTGAGATATGATGTTGCGTTACGATGTCTTCGGAGTCGATCGGCCGATCCGGGGACACCTACGAGGCCTCCAGGCGTCCCCGTTAATTTTGGATCACTTTCACCCGAGAGCCGGCGGTAGCGTTCCATTCCGCGGACAAGTTGCTTTCCAAATACGCTTCCTAGCCCTACTTTGCTCTAGATTTCTTCGGCCACCGGGCTTTCTCGCGACGCCTCGGGTTCCGATTAATCTCCTGGAGATTAATGACAGCGCTTAAACGTCGATTACTTTAAGGTCAAAGAAATTCTAAAAACCAAAATAATTAAATATATACTGATCATGAGAAAATTGTGTCAAGAAATTACCAGAATTTATTAGTCTGAAGTTCCTAATATAGTTCCTGGTTGATTTAATTACGTATTAATCACGATATGGACGTAATTAATTACGGACGTTTTGACATCATCACTCGTGTATCACTCATGTAATATTAAAATAATTTATGATATTATGATTCTATATTTGTCGCGTCAACAAATTGTCAATCATCGCATTAATTATTAAAGATTATTTTTGTATAATAAATTAATTCTAGACACTAATGAATTAATAACGAAGTTGACGTTCAACACACGCGGCTCGTGGCACGGCGCATTCACAGCGGTGCGGCGAGGGTTCATTCACGAGTCGTCCGACAGACTCGCGCGCGAGAGCCACGTGCCCCCCTCGGCTCGGCTTCTCTTCCCCATCGAAGCGTTCCCCGTGATCTCGGCGCGCCCGTGTCTCGCTTGCCTGTGCTTGAGATCGCGCGACAAATTGAAATATCCTCGCATAATCTCGCATATCGATCGGTTCTCCATGATTCTAATCGATCGACGAAGTGTCGTAAGAATTGATCGATGTACTTACGAGATGTACTTACGAGATGTACTTACAAGCGGCTGAAGAGGCTGATGGCAAATTAATTTAGTTATCGCTAGTATACTCATCGCGCGAGCGCTGAGAAGCAAGATACCTATTCAATTCAAAAGCCAATGGAGGGTACGAAAGCGAGTACGAGTCACTCGCGCATAATCGGTGCGCGTGCATAAGCTATCTAAATGTAAATCCACAAAGTTACAATAGATAACAGAGTGTGCCCTTATTCTAGATCATTTTCAGTCTGTGATTAGAGAAGAGAATTTATTAATTACATTATAAAAATAATTTTGAAAAGGTATATAAAGCAGAGGATAATTTTCGATCGCGTTTGCCCTGGTTCCTTCGATGACTCATCCCCGAGTCCTTAGAATCTTTAAATTTCGCTTCGTTCGACCGATTCGTTTGAGGCGATGACATGGGTTTACCGCAAAAACTCACCGAGGTATCAATTCGAAAGTGGTACATCGCACTTAAGATGCCTCCGGCTTGCATTCCGCGAGAGACTGCCGCGTAGGCACGTGTGCGGGAAGCACATCTCCTCGTCCTTCTCCCCGCCCATCGTCATCTCCCTCACGCTCTCACGCTCTCTCGCTCTTTCGCGTGTGTTCCACGCGTGTGGGAACTAGCATACGTGTTCGCGTCCAGGTAGCCACACGCGACAGGCGTCGTCGTGTTGGTGCCGCGACTCGCGTCCATGTGTTGGCGAAGCTTGGACACGGATAGGATGTGGGTCGGTCGCTAGCTTCGCTCTAAACGGAGAGTCGCATACCACGAGAGCTTCGTCGCGTCCCTTACCACGTTTACATATGATAGAAGCACCTTTGCGCGATACCGCGCGAGCGGTGCCAATGGAGAAACGAAGAGACAGGGAGAATAAAAAAAAAGAGAAGGAAGAGAGAGAGAGAGAGAGAGAGAAAGAAAGAGAGAGAGAGAGAGAGGCGCTCAGGACCGCGCCTTGCCCACGCGCAAACGTCGGCTGCTCGACCTCGCGCTTTCAAACTCCTCGTCTCGCTTCGCGTAGATGAGCTACATACCTAATTACCGGAGAATACACGGAAGCCCCTCCCGCTAATTTTAACGTTTGCTCCCTTGTACTAGCAACAAACGTGATACGTCGAAATACAGCAACGTTTTTCACTCACCCGTATGTATCCGCTGATGAGCCTTCAGATGCGAGCTCTTCGTGTAGACTTTCGTACAACCTGTAAAGGAGAGCGAGATTTAGGTCGGAAGTCAAAGTTTGGAGTGAGGTTGAAATAATAAAGTTAAACACCTAAGCGAGACTATCGAGATTCATAAATCATTATTGAATTTCAGAGATAATGTTTAAATGTTTTAATTTAATATTTAATTCAAAGTTATATATATATAGATACTAGGAACCACTTCGACCAAACTCCGATTAACTTAATCATTGATTAGTTTATTGGAAATGTTAAGTTAATCGGAGTTTGGTCGAAGGTTGGCCCTATGCATGATCTAATGTATACAATTTTTTCTTTCAATTCTTCTAAAAAATCTTTCGAATTAAGAAATAAGGGTCGAAGTTGTTCTGCTCACCTATGAAATCGCAATGGTGCACCCGGCGTTTCTCCAACTCCGGGTTATTCCGTCTGTTGAATTTGGACGACATCGACGACGATTGGATCCTGTGGGCCGGATTCAGGATCGGGCCTGGCTGGGGATACGGGGGTGGCGGTGTCCGCCTGGGTGGACCGGCGCCGATGGGCGAGCCGGGATCGGAGATCGGTGGCGTCAGCGGCGAAATATACATCAGCCTCGTCATCGAGCCGTAGAGCGGCGATGTCGCGTTGCCGCTCGGCTGATGATGATTGGCCGTTGACGAATCACTATTGCTACCACTGCCGTTGTTGTTGCCGTTGTTGTTGTTGTTGCTGGCGCCGTTGCCGCTACTGTTATTGCTACCGGCATTATTCCCGCTCGTGCTATTACTATTAACAGTCCCGCTGTTGTTGTTGTTGTTGTTATTATTGTTGTTGCCGTTGGGGAAGCTCTTAAAGAGCCCCGCCGTCGTCGCCGTTGTCGACGTCGTCGTCCGATGATGGACGACGTGCTGAACACTAGAGGGATTCGGAAAGGGATTCTGCGAGGGATTCGCGGTCGGTCCTTCGAGGAGATGTAAGGTCGGCGGTGGCGGTAAAGGTTCCGTCTTGATCTCTACCGGCGAGAGAACCGGCGGCGGCGTCACGTCGTCAGTCTCCATCTTTATGTGAGACTGCGAGCCCAGCATGTCCGCGTTCTCCGGGTCCAGCTTCTGAATGCTCGACGTGATATCTTCCCAGAGCGGCGGCCTGAGAAAGACGTCGTCGTCCTGGCCGGCGCTCGCCGGCTGACTCCTAGCGGAAACGAAACTGGCCTGCGGTGGTCGGCACACCGCCGTAGGCCCGCCGACCTCGAAGAAGTCCTCCATGTGCACGGACGGCTCCCGCGCATCTCTCGCGTCCGATTCATCCTCGTCCAACCTCTGCAGACGATCGAGATCCTGCCTGCACAGCAAAGTGTCCAGGTCCGACGTCTGCTGGGAACAAAAGAAACAGAGGACTCGTCGTGTATAATCATTAATCTAAAACTTTCTAATTAACTACATTTCTAAATTTTAACTCTTGAGTTACTATCAATATTTTATTTATATTATTTAGTTATATCATAATATTATATCATGTAGTTTACTCTTCGTTCGATCGAATGTTATCTCTTATATAACTTTAATCAGCAAATATATTATCTATTATCGTCTATCAGTGTTAATTTTTTAGTGCTAATAATAGAAATAGATATACGAAAACTCATTGGCAATAACGTTTTAATGAAGCGTTTTGGAACATATATTTACTAGATTTTTTTTACTAACAACAATCAGTTAAAGTCTCTTCGGGCTATTCCAGCATTTAAGATTGTAAAGGGCGCATCTGTTGATGAAAAAGGACGGAGAGCGAGTGACTTGCGATATGATGATACGCGCGCGGCGAAGGTCCCCAGATAGAGCGTCGTCAACATGCCCAACGCTGTCTCGCCCTACGACGTCCAGCACGCGCGAGGAGGAGCGACGGAAGAAGGAACGCGAGAGACTGGCGATGCCGCGTCATCCTTTGCATGATTTGTACACGGGCAACGCCGCCCTCGCGCCCCATAGTACACCGTTCCTCCCTTTTCCTCTCTTGTCATGTCGAGAGACGACGAGTGCCACCTCTCGCTACAGCGCGTTCGGTGCATAACATTCGTAGGATTTCTACCAAGGGTCTCTTGGATCGACGAGCATCGCTCTCGTCGCCGGCGATGGCAGCCGTCGATACTGTTCTCGCGCCGGAAATGCATGTATGGGTATCAAAAGCGAGGCTGGGAGACAGTTACGGCATCGTTTCGATTTTTACGACTTTAACACTTCCGCTGGAACCTAAAGTCGTGACTGAAGTCGTAGAATCGTACCAACTACCTGTCGAAAAGGGATCGAAAAAATGGTGATCGTGCTCCGATCTTTAGGACCTACGTTTTCAACCTGTAACGTTAAAGTTTCTTCGTCTCCAAATCTAAAACTGTTTCACGTGAAAGAGACGTTCTTCAAATGTTCAGTAGTTATATATAGTTCAGTCTACATATATTGCAAAGAAAGGCTTATATATAGATTCGCTTAAAAATATCGCGTGGCGAGCTTTCGAGCGGGTTTTCTTGCTCGCGCGCGGCTTGTGCAGTCTGCAATGATTTATGAATTATTTACACAATGAATAATTCATCGTCGGAAGATTGGTACACTCGCGACACTCGATCGTACCTGATATGCAATTTGAAAAGGAGCTCGTGTGCGCGAGCGAGGTACGATATGCCCGCGAAACATTATACTTAAAAATCTGTATACTTAAATCGTATGCATCGTGTCGACGAACCATAGTCCCTTGATCGCGAAAAACTCGATTTTACGAACGGTGAAAGAATATAGATCAAAAAATCTATTTTTGCGGTAAAAAATGGAAAACCGAGTCCAAAAAATTCTATTATATCTATAGCAAACGAAGGTACGATATTTTTTTCGTGATTTTGCGATCCGAGTTTAAATTCACAAAAATTATGACGATTCGGGATTGCGATTCGAGGCGGACAGCGTAGACGGAAATGTCAAATGCAACTTGTAATGGTATAGAAAAATTGATAACGTAAGATGCGTCCGCATCCTATATGTAAAAACTGCATTCGGCATTTCTAGCTTGATCTAACAAAATGTATCCAGCCAGGATTGAAAGTGCCATTTACGGCTTACGCGCCAAAAACACACACGATATATTAAATACGAGTGTTCGAGACAAACGCGTTCGAACGCGAGAGAATTAACGTTTCGTAATTTTCTTTCTCGATCCATCGAGGCCCGCCGCGCGGTGGGACCAGCCTCTTTTCCTATACAGTCTCTCGTCATCCGTCTCTTTCTCGCGTTGCGATGATAATGATAGTGCGGAGCGCGAGCAAAGTTCGTCCATCCGGCTATTAATGCGCGTAATCATAGAGCCAGGGTCGCCGGTGTTAATAATGCGTTTTCGAATCTGTCGGAGCGAGAGAACGAACACCCACGCCGCGCCGCGCGGCCGATACTGCGTCGTCATTATGTAGCGGCGGATGCGCGTGTGTGCGCGTATGCGTGCGTCCTGTGCGTGCGTGCGTACGTGTGCACTCCCACACTCCCACGCGCGCGCGTCCACGAACACGCGAGCGTATATACGCTACGCTAATATCTCCGCTTGATTATTCCAGTTGATCGCAAGCTGGTTTGTTGATCGCGCACCAATAGCACAACGACGATGATGACGATGAACGTCGTAATCGTCCTCGGAAAAGGAATGATTTTTTTTCTGTCGACTGTTAGCGAGTCAATAAATCCAGTTTGTCGTATTCCGGTGAAACACAAGATACGATATCCGTTCTCTTGTGACTCGATTAGCATGCAGCCAATGATTCCGGAGCGCAAGAGCGTTTCTCGGTTCGACTCGTTGCCGACGTTGTATATCAACTGAGTTCGCGAGAGAACGTGGAAAACCGCGAGAAACGAGAAAAGTCGAGAATATTGGAGAAAACTAGAAATATATAGTCATTATATAGTCGATCGTCTTTAAATACAATTATAAGAAAATGTAATTATTTGTAATCTATCTCGAAGTGAGGTATCATCGGGAGATACCGTTGCTTCGAAACAAATCGCGAGCACCTTTCTCATATGCTCTTCTATTCCAATAAAAGAATATTCGGTAACGAGAAATTTGATTAAATATAGTCGTTTATCAGATTGCGTAACGTCTTCGGCGCCTGCGATACGGCGCCTCCGATAACTCGCGCGACCAAGTCAACTCGTACTTCATAATTATTTCGGGCGTCAAATAAATTCATCGATACAGCGACGTGATAAACGCGATGCGGCCTAGAAAGATGGAATAGAAGAATCGACGCGACGCGACGCCATGCTGCTCGCGGTGAGAAAACGCAGCGCGCAGAAGCAAGCAGCACAGCTCGCCGAATCAATCTGGGGAGGCCACACCCTCTGACCTAAAGCCGTATTATCGCGATAAACGCCCAGGAAAATGTCAGCCATGAAGCTGCTCCGAAATGTCCTCGCGCGCGATTCTTGCCGAAACACTTATCATTGCCGTCGCGACTTCGCGTTCGATATCGCGATCGCCGCGATCACGCTATACTCGCTCGGATGGATACGTTCCCGCGAGAAGGCACGAGTACGCTCGCAGTCCGTCGTACTTTTCTGCTCGTCGAGGCGTTCCGACCTCGATAACAATGCACGGACGCGGGGGTAGCGCGACTTCGAAGCAGCTTCAGCGATCGCTTTCATAATGCGAGACCTTTGGATTCTTCGTAGATAATTACTTTCGCGATACTTAACCCGAGAATAGGCGCCTGATGATTTTCTTTTTCATAAATGGTCACCAGGGGTGATTTTTACACCGCAATTAAGAGTCAATGTTATTAATACATATTGCACATTTTTGGTTGTTCTATAATTTATTAGTATTTGAGGACAATATGTATATATAGATTTACTAAACATTTTCTGGAAAAAGTAAGAAAAAGCCGAAAAATATTTAAAAACGAAAAAAGCACATTAAAGTTACTGGTGACGATCGAGTTTCATTTTTTCAATACTGAGGTGTAAAAATCACTCCAGGCGCTCGTTCCTAGGTTAATCTCAATGACCTATCGTATAATTATAATTTAATTGATACAGTCATAGGATAGTGTGAAATCTGTGTACCAAGTTCTACTGCTTGTTATTGGAATATAAGAAGATCGACGTATCGATCATGCATAATCATTTCACGCTCGCGAGTCTCCGGAGTACCGTCCCAGTTGTTTTTCTCTCGCGGTAAAACCTTAGAATTTCGCTAAGATGACGCCGTCTGAGATGCTAAACGAGCGAGGCTCTCTCGTTAGTTCACCGAAGAAACGGCTTCAACAGGCAGAACGAAAAAGAGACGAAGGAGGCGTTCGAATCCGGGCTCCGGGCGACTGCGGGTCGCGTCGCGTCGCGTCGCATCGCGTCGCGGGTAGGGACGGGGGGCACAAGGCACAAGACGCACGGAGGTCCCTCGTATCCTCCGATCCCTCTCGAGGGGGCTGTACATCCGTGGCGCGGCGCGGCGCGGACACGTAGATTCTATCTCTCCGTCCATTCAGCCGCCTAGGTAATAAAACTCTCACGTCCATTATTTACTTGCATTATCGTTACTTTACGCCTACGCGGACGCGCCGTATTTATGGTGAAATTATTCAGTATTATTTCGCGGATATGAATAAGATGACGCCGGAGATACGTCGCCGTCCGTCGTCCCGTATGCGAGATGCGCGATTCGCGAAATCTTTCAGGCGGAAAGCGAAATCGCGCGAGATCTATACGTACGGCTCCGCTATCGCGAAAGGGTAATTACGCGCGATCGAGATCCGATCGATCCGCGTCTGATCGCGCGCGCGATCGCGATTTCCCAGTTACTCGCTCGTGAGTCGTGCAGCGAAGGTGGAACCAAATTTAACCACCCTCCCGCTAAGATAGGCGAACCATCATCGACACTATCGCCGCGTGACGAGATTGCCGAAGGCAATATTTCGGCCAATCTGCTGGAAACCCGCCGGAAGCAACGGGTTTTAGCCTATCGGCTAAAAGTACGGGTCGAGAGAGGGTTGAAAAGGGAGAAAATCGATTCTCGGGCATCGCGTTGCGCAAGGGTCCCTTAAAAGGATGGCGCGGCGATTAGGACGAAGAGGCAAATGGCGGCGATGGCGTCGGTAGGCAAGAGAGTATCATTGTTCTCTGTATACATTTCGTAAGTAGATTGGCATTTGTGATGCAAGTCGAGCCGCGCTGCTGCCGCTGCCGTTGCCGCCGCCGCCGCTACTGCCGTCGTTGCTGCTGCTGCTGCTGCTGACCTTTAAACGACTTTCTTTTAGACTACGCGTGACTTGATCTCGGAACTCGATTCTGCTCGATTCCCCCGGCCCTCGTCGTCGTTCTACTCGACGCGAGAGTGATACGTG